GTTCAGCCAAAGGTAGTAAACTTTATATTATATAGTTACCATGCTATTGTTAAATATATTTTGCAATTCTTTCCAAAATGAATGACACAACTTGGAGTATATACTTACATAGTTCTAATTTATTATTCGAAAATAAAATTTGTCATCGATCAGATATTGTCATTTAATATAGGTAACATTCAAATAAATTTCATATAATTTCAAATATCACTATGAAAGATTGTTTAATTATTCTTATAGTCATTGTAGCAAAAAGTATTGACACATTTGAATGTGCTTTATACAGATACTTTTAAGCTGAAGATGAAACCTGGAAAGGCTTATCTTCTTCGATTGATCAATGCTGCACTTAATGACGAGCTTTTCTTCAGCATCGTGAATCATACTCTTCGAGTTATCGATGCTGATGGCGTTTATGTTAAACCCTTTGAGACAGATACCCTTATTATTACACCAGGACAAACTCACAATGTTCTTCTCAAAACTAAACCTCATTTTCCTAATGCCACATTTTACATGACTGCTCGGCCATATGTGACGGGTCCTGGCACATTTGACAACTCTACTGTTGCTGGAATTTTAGAGTATGAATCAAAATCAAAACCCCATTTGAAAAACCTACCATTTTTTAAGCCATTACTTCCTGCTCTCAATGACACCACTTTTGTCACCAATTTTACGAGTAGATTAAGAAGTCTTGCTACTCCTCAATTCCCTGCTAATGTACCTCTAAACGTCGATAGACATTTATTTTTCACAGTAGGTCTTGGAACAAGTCCTTGTGATCATAATAAAACTTGCCAAGGACCAAATGGCACAAAATTCTCAGCTTCAGTTAATAATGTATCTTTTATACAACCTACAACTGCACTTCTCCAATCTCATTTCTTTGGACAATCCAACGGTATATACAAGCCTGATTTTCCTTATAGTCCTTTAAATTGGTTTAACTACACTGGGAATCCTCCAAATAACACCTTAGTTAAGAATGATACAAAACTTATGGTTTTGCCATTTAACACGAGC